GTCTGCTCAAATTCTAAGAATTAAAAAAAGCGCTTCGGAATTCATCTCATCCTTTACAAATTTAAATTTCTATTTGTTGAGTAATAACTTAAATACTTTAATAAAATACTCCTTGTAAAAAAAAAAGAGGTATTTCAGCCCATCGTGGTTTTCGATTACGAAAAAGGATTAGATATCCTATTAGTTTATTATTCATGACAGAAATTCTATTTTATTTTCGAAATATATGAAAAAAATATCCTTGTTTCATTCCTATTCTTCTTTCTTTTTTAGAAAAAAAGTTGGTGGACTTAAAAAATAAAGGATTATTTCGTTTCTGATAGTCATTACATTTATCGGTGGATAGGATCATACTCTGAATCGGAATCTTGGGGAGTACTGTTTGATCATTTCTACTAATTTCAAGCCCCAATTAACCTTCTTTTTTTTTTGTTATCTTATGTTATGCATAAATATCCTTTTTTATTTGGTTAATCTCTATTACAAATTCTTTGTGTATTTTGGTGTTTCTAACCATCCACTTATTTTTACCTAATTGCCGCTCACTTTGTAATACATGTATGTTAATCTATATAACTGATAGTGAAAACGTCATACGGTTAATATTTTTAACCCGCTTCAAGCCAGGATGACTAATCAACCAACCTCGGGGTAAAGTGATTCTTACATTTATTTCCGTTTAACCTTTGTACATAGGAAATGAGACTCAATTTTTCTTTTTACTGCTAATTTATGAGCAGTTTTTTTCACTCATATATAACTATCAAATTCCTTTTATTAAGATTAACCCGAAAGAGAAATATCTATATATTCCGTTTTTAACTTAATTCGTCTAGAAGAAACAGAATAGTACAAATAAACGTCTATATTTCAACGAATCGCACGTAGAGATATTGATAAAACACATAGAGTTAATGGTATTTCATAACTAATCGATTGGGCAGCAGCTCGCAGACCACCTAAAAAAGAATATTTATTATTTGATCCATATCCTGACATAAGAAGTCCAATCGGAGCAATACTTGAGATGGCAATCCATAAAAAAATACCGATATTGAGATCCGCTAAAACAAGGTGATTGCTAAAGGGAATTACTGAATAACTTAGTAAAATTGAGATAACTGCTATAGATGGTCCAATACTAAATAAAGGAGTGTTTCCTCTAGATGGGCGAAGATCTTCTTTTAAAAGTAGTTTTGTCCCGTCGGCTAGAGCTTGAAGAATTCCCAATGGGCCAGCGTATTCAGGTCCAATACGTTGTTGTATCCCTGCAGATATTTCTCTTTCTAACCAAACAATTACTAGTACACCCGTTACGATTCCCAATACAAGAGAAAATATAGGGATAAATATCCATATGAGCTCATAGACCTCTTTTAAAGATTCCAATCTAACAAAAGAATTTATAGTTTGTACTTCTGTTGCATAAATTATCATTTTAACGATCAACTTCTCCCATAATTATATCTATGCTACCGAGTATCGTCATAATATCAGCCAATTTCATTCTTTTAACTAGTTCAGGAAGAATTTGCAAATTAATAAAACCCGGCGGTCGGATTTTCCATCTCCAAGGAAAACCTTCCCTATTCATTGCGGGCTGGTTATTCGTGAGCACCGGTTTAGCTTACGATGTGTTTGGGAGCCCTCGTCCAAACGAGTATTTTACAGAGAGCCGACAAGGCATTCCATTAATAACAGGCCGTTTTGATCCTTTGGAACAACTCGACGAATTTAGTAGATCTTTTTAGGAGGACCCAATGACTATAGATAGGACCTATCCAATTTTTACAGTGCGCTGGTTGGCTGTTCATGGACTAGCTGTACCTACCGTTTCTTTTTTGGGGTCAATATCAGCAATGCAGTTCATCCAACGATAAACCTAATTCAATTATAGAGCTATGACACAATCAAATCCGAACGAACAAAATGTTGAATTAAATCGTACCAGTCTTTATTGGGGGTTATTACTTATTTTTGTACTTGCTGTTTTATTTTCGAATTATTTCTTCAATTAAGAAAAGAGCGTAGAATAAGAAAATAAAAAAGAAAGAGTAGTAATTTTCGTATCCCATTCGGATGGATTATATATCATAATTATCTCTA